GTGTTCATAAAATGTGCAACAGATATCCGACCAACATTGGTCTCAACATTGTGGGAACCTGATGTCGCCTAAGCCTTGAGGATTTGACATTCTCTCTGTTTTGCCAATGTATACGAGAACATTTGATGATGGCCGAGTTAACATCCACCAACATCATTTGCCAAACATTTTCAAAACATTTCAGCCAAATGGCGGTGTAGTGCTCCTCCATCAAAATCCATCAAAATTATGCCTCAACAACATCTCAACAGTCTGATATCTGATATCCCCTTTTTGACTGCCCGCGAGCGTAGCGAGCGAATAACATCTGGAAAGGCGGGACACTCTATATAGGTCTATATAGGCCGCGTAGATCCATAGGCCGCATAATAAGTAGGGCTCTATGTGACAGCCTATAGGACTAGGGATTCTACATAGTGTCGCATAGACTCGCCTAGTTCGGCTAAATACCGTTCTATGCGACTCTACGCGACTTAATTCCCTAATTTTGGATGTACGTAATAAAAAATATAGGGAATTGCCGAAGCTTATACAGGACCAATGACCAGAAATCGTGTCAAGGCGTTATATTGAATGACTACATACAACAAGAAATGTCATAATGAAAAATTGACAGTCAAGATGGACGGTCGGGACTTGCTGTAAGACCGTAGCCAGGCTATGTCAACAGAATGCGAGCTTGTGGAGCAGATACAAAGGAACGAGCGCTAGACAAGGCAGATAGAGGACCCAAGAGATGGACAAGACAATTCAAAGATAAGATACGAGGAGCGTACAGTTCGCCAGGTCGAATTGTGACGTGGGACAGCATTGAGGTGGTGTACTTGACAATGGAAGGACACAGAAGTAGTGATCACCATTGAAGATGTGTTGATGGTAGACTGGGCTCGGAATCAGGAGGGTTGACGTCGACGCAGGGCAGTTGCGAGCTTGGTCAGTGACGTGGCCATTGGTAAAGTCTTGACGTTGGCGAGGCTGCGCTGCTTGGAGTTTGGGTGCGTTGTCTGGGAGACGCAGGAGTGGAAAGGTGGAGTCACTTGGCACGATGAGCCTCGAGAATGATAGTTGCCGGGGAGGGGATAGAAGTGAAAGAGGAGAGATATGGTGGGGGAACAAAAGAAGTGTGGTACGATGAAAGAAAATTACGAAACAATATTCGTGCATGGTTGATCTTTGATTGCTCCGGGCGGAGTTTGGATGACTTGGCTTTTGAAACGTTGGACCAGATACCGAAATGGAGGTGCTACCCAAATGGGACAATTTCTATGCGAACTATGCGCCTTGCCTTGTATGCGACATAGCCGAACTATATAGGCCTACATAGTTTGCGAGATCTATTGTAGTCTACATAGAAAGCTGAGTTCTATCCAGCTAAAGTGCGTTTCCTGATGAACGTCGGGAACGAGACTAGGAGTTTTCGTCTCGCATTTGATTCTCTGAGCCTGGGGCCTCGGATCACTGGGTAAATCGGGCATGGGATTCCACGGTGAAGTTATCCGGTAAACCTCTCAGTGCAACAGCCTACGGGTGAGCTCGAGTTGTTTTCAGAGTAACTCTGAAAACAACTCGAGCTCACAAAAATGCTGTCTGACAGTTAGCGGTAAACGACAGCATTTTTGAGTGCTGCCAGGGTTCGTGGTAAACGACAGCATTTTTGAGTGCCGACGCGAAGATCGCCTCATCGAGCCCTTTTGTATGGGACAGACGCTGTGGAACCAACAGACGCTATAAAACCAATTGCTATCGGTCCTTGCCTACAGAATTGCCCTGATTTCTCGCTGCTTTCGCCGCCCTGACCATCATGCACTATGCCTCTGGCTTGTTTACTGTCACAAGTGCCAGTATTCTCTATCACGCACTCCAGCATCTCTATACCACACAACGCCAACGAGCATGGATCATCACCGGCGCCTCCAGCACAGTCATGACCCTGTGCAGCGCACCCTTTGTCATAGACCTCGTTTGGTCGGGAGGGGATGTTACGGCCGTGCATCCTCGTTTTCAACTGGCCGCACTCACATGCAAAGCATTCCAAGGATCCCTCCTCGCCGACTTGATTGTCGGATCCATATATTACCGCAGCAGCATAACGGTAGGCTGGGGATGGATTCACCATTCCACCTACATTATCCTCGTGGAACTCATCTTGCGACGCCAATGGGCCCACCTCTTCTGCCTTGCTCTGGTCATGGAGTTCCCCACATCCTATCTAGCGCTGTCGTTCCTCTACCCTCGCGTTCGGCGTGACTGGCTGTTCTGCGCTAGCTTCCTCACCACCCGAATCTTCTTCCACCTGTTTCTCCTCTACATCGCATGTTCGCCTGGCGGACGGTCCGCCGTGCAGGGGAGCTACCTTCCGGCCCTATTCCTGGCTCTAGCGCTGCCAGGCCACGCTACATGGTTCATTCAGAGCGTGCGCGGCGCTGTTCGCCGGGGTCTCCAACAAAGCGGACAATCGCCCACTACCCCCCAGGACGAGAAACAGCAGCAGTCGGACATAACAGCGTTCCTGCTCACCGCCATGCGCCCGGTGACGACTCTGGTCACCCACAGCGGTATCACAGGCTGAAATCATCTTCCTTTGCCGCGATGTAGAGCCCTCTCCGGGCAAGTGCATCTGTGGGTCAGAGTATTTGCAATTGGTACTGAATTGAGCGCATAGATAGATTTCTTGGTCCCCTCTTCTGACATTTGGACGCCGACACTACTTACTTCAAATATGTTGATTTTTTCATATATCTTTTGGTATTTCAACGGATTCTTGCGGGCGGTGGGAATAACGGACAGTCAGCCACGGACAGAACTAGCTAGCATTACCGGTAGACCGCATATAGTTCATGTAGTTGGGGGCATCCCGACAGAGTTGACCTTCATTCACTCACCGTCTTCAATATGAGAATATGTACATGAAAACTCGGCAAATATGGATGGCTAGTAGGTACAGGGAATGCTGCTGTAAATCAAGGAAGTAAGAGCAGGTTAATCGCAACACAAGCAATTGAATTTGCAATTGGTACTGAATTGAGCGCATAGATAGATTTCTTGGTCCGCCCCGCCCGTCTGCCTTGGACGCCGACGCTATTTATTTCAAATATGCTGGTCTTTCGCACATATCCTGGGCAACTCGACGAATTCTTGCTGGCAATAAAATGAGAACGTAGATTTTCCGGAAGCAGGCGGCGGTGCCCACGAGTTCCGCGAGCAGGTTGGCGAGCAGGTTGGCGGAGACCGCAAGCTTGAGGAAGACGCTGTCGCGCGGCCGGGCGCTGCTCCGAAAGTATTGGGTCACTTGCACGACTTAGAGGGTGAAGAGCACGAGGTTGAGCGAGCTCCCGATGGAGAGCGGCCTGCGGATGCGTAGTCAGCACCGAGAAGTGTTTCGGGATAAATGGACATACGCGAGCGTGTCGGCAGTCAAGAAAGGCGAGGTTTCGTTGGACATGGTGGGACGGGGAGCGAGAGAGAGACAAACGGCGGAAGAGACTGCGAGCTTTAAGCAAGGCGGAGGTTTCATTTAGATCGCGCTTTTGGATCCGCGCCTCGTCCCGCGGATTCAGTTCTTCGGGTTCCATAACTTCCGCAACCCAAGAATGTATTTAGCTGGACACCCAGGGACGCGCATATCTACGACGTTGGTCCGGTGGGAAGTTGGTGGTTATTGACGTCGGGTGGAAACGCGTTCTTTGGAGATCATCGTCGAGTTACAGCGCAGAGTTTGAGACAAACGATCGACAGGGGGTGGGCGGGAATCTAGACAGGTCTCACTACCGCAGCACATCCGAATGCTCTTACTGGTCAGTGGTCTTTTCGTCGCGCACCGGTATCAGAGTGTCGTCGGTTCGGTTCACTGGCCTTCCGTGACGATTTCCGAGTGCTTGACAGATGCGCCGAGCCGTTGCGCGTTTGTTGAAGGGGGCCAGTGCCTTGTGATACTATCTGCTGCACACCAGTTCCTGCAGGCCCCGTGAAGCTCCACCAAAGGAGTGTCCCAAATTATAGCTTTTTAGGGCGAAAAATCGCGATTTCCTTGTCCGAAGTTAAGCTTTTTTAGGCCCAAAACTCGTCAGCCTTGTCCGAGGATAAGCTTTTTGAGGAGGGATTTGAGCTCGAAGCTCACAGTAGACCCCTCGTTGACACCATATTAAGTGTGTCGCTTGGCGAAATGGTTAACGCTGCTCTTTTCTACAGTCGCTCGTTCAAACCTTTTGCATTTTGCTTGATTTCCGGTCCGCCCATCAGCGAATCAAAGTTACGTGTTTAACAGGCTTCTTCCTTCTCACCATGGAGGACGACGAGGAAACTGCTGATGTTCCTGTCGCCCCGTTGTTCACTTGCCATCACAGAAATCTTCGGGTTCGCCTACACACCCATGCGAAGATATCTCACCTACTTTTCAACCTTGGGCCGCGCGTTTCAAATTGAATCAGTCGCTGATTGAGTTCAACATCGAACTCTCATACCGCATGCCGCGTCGGTGTGGACAGCTCTTACAAAGAGCGGGAAGGTGTCAAAGGAGGTGAAAAAGGTTACGTTGAAGTTGCGCCAGCCAAATAGTGTATGTAGACGGCGCGAGCGCAAAAATTGGAATTTTCGTTGATTTTGGCGGAATTTTAGACGCCGTGACTAGCCTTGTCCCATGTTAGCTTTTTTAGGTCCCAAAGCCGCCAAACCGTAAACTTTTTGAGGTCAGATTTGACGGAATTTTGGGACACTCCTTTGGTGCAGTTTCACGGGGCCTGAAGTTCCTGCGCTGGTGAGTCAAGAACTAGTAGTAGAGTCTTGGAGTTTTCGCCTCGCCACAAACCTTGATTCTGAGCCTTGAGGCTTGCTTGAGGCCTTGAATCACTGGGTAAATCGGGCATGGGATTCCACGGTGAAGTTATCCGGCAAACCCTCCAATGAACGGTTTACAGGTAAGCTCGAGTTGGTGGTAGTGCCGACTCAAGGTCGTCTCATCAATCTGGATGGATGACATGGACGCTGTGGGCTGAGTTTCTATCGGTCCGATGGTGTAGTTGGTTATCACTTCTGTCTAACATTAATCTCCTAATGGGGATATGTCGCACAGGCGGTCCTCAGTTCGAACCTGGGTCGGATCACTTTTTGTTTCTCCCCAACCTTTTTTTCTTTAGTCGGGATTAGAAATAAAACATGTAAAAACAGCCAAAAAGGTGTTGGACCCTGAAAAAGTTCAGGCACAGGAGCCACTTTCCCCTGTATCGTTCCAATCTTTTGTATGATGCTCCGAAACAGAAAAGCCTAGTAAGTCTCGGGTATTGATCAGCAGAGTGTACCTTGTGCAGCAGGGTGTCTCGGCTATGCAGTTACATACTTCCCACCTTGTAGGAGAGATTCGGAGAATGATATGTCGGAAAAATGGAAGGAAGCTAATGCGTTGGAAGGCCTTGAAAGGCCTTAAGATCACGTGGCCTTGGAAGTGCATTGGAACTCGAGAGTTGTCTTGGAAGGCCGGTGGCATCTTGGAAGACCCAGGGGTTCTTGGAATGTTCAGTAGTCTTGGAAGGCAAAAGTAGTGTTGTAAGGACTTAGAAGGAGGAGAAGTTGTTGGAAGGGGACCGTGATGGTAAAAAGCCAAAAGGCTAATTAGAAGGCACATTATATTTCTTACCCTATAAGGGAATCAAACTTGGGACCTTTCGAAAACTAGCGAATAGAAGAGCGGAGTAATAACCATTAGACCATACACCCATTACAATGAGTGTTAATCAATGTAATTTATCATATGTTTATTTGGTGGCTATCGCCAAAAAAATAACCTCGCAACATTCCACTGCTATAAACTACTCCAACTATTTTTTGTTGCACCCATGCGTCCGAGCCCTGGGGACCACAACCTCATCTTCCTCCATTTCCTCCCTGTTAGGTATCTCGTGAATTTCGGGGGGCGCATCTGTGATTCGTGCGTGGCACGCGACCAATTGCCGAGGAGGGGAATCATCAACATTGAGAATCTCATCCCAAGCGCTGTCATTGTCGGAGTTGGATGGATCCTCGAAATCACCGAATGCAAGGCGGTGCATTGCCTCGCTGATCTCATCCTCAACATCAGCATCTGCAACATTTTCCTCTGTGGCGCTGAAACACCGTAACAAGAGCACGTGGCATCTAGTGCAATTTTGCGATTTCCTAAGATCAGTATTTATACAACGGGAAAGCGCTAGCACTTCTGAAGTGTTATCACACTCAGGACTCTAGCTAGGTGATATAAAGGAGAACTGGAGTGAGCCCAAGCTGCCGGTTGTAGCACCAGATACAACTAGTGTGACACGCTAGCACGGTCTGGAGGCACAAACCATGGGGAAATAACCATAAGCCCAAACAGTCAAGGTGCTAGCACCTAGGAAGCGAGACACAGGAGGGTGATACTGCGAGGGCACTAGCAGACGGTGCAAGCGACGAGTCTGGAATCTGAAGGGTAGTAAACTATGCGCTAGCAGCCTTCTAACAGAGGCACTAGTATGCGGTACCCAGCTAGTGATCAACCTGGACCTGAAACGCAGATGCGAGCACGTGACGGTCGCGAGTCACAAACAGAGACAAGTAGACAGCAAGAGGAATAGCTAGCAGGCTATTGGTGCAGATGTGCGGGTCACCACAAATGCAGTAACGGATAAACGGACTGCTAGCTGGTGCTCTGACCTGTGCTAGATGACTCCAGACAATGGATTCAACTCCGTTTCGTCAGGATAGAGGTTCCAGCAGCTGATGGAAAGCTGAGGGATCACTCACAATACCCATAAATGGACACTAGCGGATTAGTGTGGCTGTTCTGCTTGGCACAGACCCATCATAAAACCAAACGGCAGTCATTGGCTGCTGTATCAATCACATCATTTTCACTCATTTCTGTTATTCATCCTGTATATCACATGTATCATGGACCTCAGTAGTATAAAGGAAGCACAGAGCAGGCTAGAACCTCAGATTATTACACCCCGACTTTGTACAAAGTTGGTGCAGGTGGTCTCAGGTTGCTAGTGGAGATTGTAACACACTTCACAAGTAGTAGCTTTATTGGAATCAATACTGTTGACTCTGGACATGTCGAGATCTTAAGTTGAGATTCTAGTTGTTGACTCGAGGAGTCTTCACGTATAAAACCAAGGGTGTTCTCTTCGAGACCCAGCTAGCAGTTGCACTTGTCAGGGGAACCCCCACTCCTCCCGCCGTTCCAGCTATTCCTCCGGCTATTTCTCCGGCTATTTCTCTGGCTTCCGCTCCGGCCTTCGCTCCGGCTATTGCTCCGGATATCCCTCCGGCTAATGCCCCTGACCTTCTGCTCGCCCGCTCTCGTTGGCACGTGCTATGCGACCAGGCCCGTGATTATTGTAGATACCTCCGGACACGTGCTACTGGGTAGTTACCTATTCGTATATAAGGTTTCACCTAGTGTGGGAATCCTCATCCTTTCTTCTCTTCGGATTGCCTCGCTAGGTGCGTAGTATTCCCGCTCCTCTATTATAGTACATATATTTATACTTTGGATTCCCCCGCTAGTTTCCACGCCTTGCGCCGAGCTTAAGGTTGCCCTTACAGCACTAGCAGCTTTGCCTTCACCCCAATATTGACAGAAGCGCTGTTGTAGTGTGTTGGATCGCCTGCTAGGTAGTTATGTGCTGCCTCGAGCCCACTAAGAAGAAGATGGACTAGGTGCCCCCACCTCTAGACCGACTGTAACTTGTCAGTTACTTCGCCTTCACCCTGATATTGACGGAAGCGCTGTCGTAGTGTGTTGGGTCGCTAGCTGGACACTTATAGTGTCTATTGCCAATACAAAGTGGAAACATTCCTGTTCTTGGTTAAGGAATAGGTCGACGGTTTAAGGACTGCCTTGCCGTTTGAGGATTTAAGTCCCTTGTTGTTAGCCTCAATAGTCTTTGGGTACCCCATTACAAGGATTTTCACAAACCTACATACTCTGCCCTGGTGCCCTCGATCTAGCGATCCAGCCACCTTGTATCCAACCCATAAACCGCTGCCCATCCCAGGTGGCTATTTCATTGTCAACTCTTGAAAGGTTGACAATGAAATAACCCCACGCACCGAACCACTACTTCCTAAAAGGGAAAGCCTGACACAGCCATGTTCGCGGAGCGGCAGGTCCCGCCCGACACAGCCATGTTCCGAGGAGCGGGCAGGCCCAGCGCAAGCGGGCGCCCCCGAAGTAATGCTGGAACGACAGAAAAGGCCGATCAGCCTTTTCTGAACCAAGTGGACTCTCGGCCACTTTCTGCCACAATGTGCGAACAACAGAAAAGGCTGATTGTCGGCCACTGATCCCCGTTGTTCGCACATTGTGGCAGTTGAGCACAGAACAGAAAAGGCCGATCAGCCTTTTCTGTCGTTGGCCAAAAAATAGGTCACGTTCAGTTATGCGAAGCCTCGAGCACCGGGACTGGGATCACGTCGGCCATGTGACATGTGTCTCTTATATGACCATCACCACCATGTCGGCGACACGCCCAGGGGAGTATTGTGGAGGAACATGCCGGCTTGTGTCAGGCCCACCACACCCTGTGTGCTGCGAGGGTGCGATTGCATCCCCAGACAGGTGTTTATCCTCGCTGGACGAGTTTCGTGGTACGTCTCCATTTTTCTTCGAAATTCTTTACTGATTTTATATATTCAGACACTTTAACGTATTCACGTTCTCCTCCCTCTGCATCCTATGTCGACGCCGATGGAGCATACAACAAACATAACAAGACCTCCATACTGAATCAACAATTATTGTGTCCGTTTCATTTCCTCCGCGTTTTACATCCTTCCTTCCCCTTTTCGTACTGGGCTGATGCGCCACGCAGTGACGTGCACGCGTTCCTTCGACATGGACCCCTTTGTCAATATCTCATTCGGGAAGAAGGTGTTCCGGACAAGGGTTAGCTCTGCAAATGATCCACAATCTGATGGTGGGTGCCACAAATGTGCGAGTCACAATGTGACATGTCACAGTGTTTCTTTGTTTCCTCCTCCACGACATATTTGGTGCCGGGGTGATACTAGCGCCTCCTAGAAGATCTTCAGAACTTCCCTCTATTCGCCGTCTCCAACGCCGTGCCCTCGGCTGCCTGCCAAGGCTGTTCAATATATACGCACACCCTATGTCCACTGCCTCGCCGATCCAGCCGTCTCTGCTCCCCGAGAGCGATGCTGGGCCTACACATGCAAGATCTCTGCCACATTCCGCTCTACTTTGCCCAACACAGCCATCCGCGTCCGCTCGGCCACCACCAGACTCACCTCCTGGCATTGAAGCTCTGCGCACGGTGCTCTACGGTCATGTGTTCACACGTGCACACCATGGCATGCCCCCGCACCAAACCCCATCTGCTATGTTCTGATTTGTGCGCACACCTGCAGCGCCCGCTGCTCGACTCAATACCAGCACATCACTCAGTGATGTCTCATCATAGTGAGTTCCCGGCCAATTCCATTGAAATAAAGTACCCACATGAGCCCTGGCATGCCCAGCACGTAATGACCAGGCCCCTGTTGCCGCCCGCAGCCGAACACGTGCATGTCGACGCCGCTGATGACAGCATGTCGCACAATTAGGTTCACCCACCAAAAACCGCCAATCACGGTGAGTTCTTGTCCAATTATGTCGGAACAAAGTGCTCACACAACCTTCAGAATGCTGCAAACAGAGCTGTATGGCCCTTGCAAACCCCCGCTCTCGAACGCGCACGCACCGATGCTACGTTCGCCCAATGGCTCCTCCCGATCAACATCAGCGAAATCGGCGACGAAAAGGAATGCTCAATCTTTCGTTCCTGTTCTCAATATCCCATCGCAAGACCACGCTCTCGGCAGCACCAACCAACCACGCGCGGGCCTGGCCGACCGCCCAAGCCGACCATTCAGTCAAGCAAACAGCCGCAGGCAACGCACCCCGAGGTGGATGCTGGGACCAGACACCCATACCATTCTCCGCCGGTCCACCTCCACCACGGGCATCCCGCACCGGCCGACTGACGTGCAAGCCACCGTATATTGCTTGTCTCGACATCACGACGCCGCCGCTCCAAGTCTCACGCCTCGCCGCAGCAACACCCTGTCTAGACCCCGTCCTCGTCGG